TCCATCAAAGTTATCACAAAAATTCCCAAAATTTCCCAAACACTTCCATTAATTTTGGGCTCATTTTGGGTCATTTTCGCCTCCTTTTGGGGCATTTCTCCCCTTTTTCGTCAGTTTTTTGCCATTTCTTCCCCATTTTTTCACATTTTTCACCCAAAAATTCCCAAAAAATTCCCAAAAAATTCCCAAAAAATTCCCAAATACTTCCATGAACTTTGATCTCATTTTGTGTCACTTTGAGCTCATTCTGAGCTCCTTTTGGGTCATTTTTTTGTCATTTTTCACCGTTTTTTCGCCGATTTTTGTGATTTTTTTACCATTTTTTCCCGGTTTTCACCCAAAAATTCCCAAAAAAATCCCAAAATTTCCCAAACACTTCCACTAATTCTGATCTCATTGTCAGCTCATTTTGAGCTCATTTTGGGTCATTTTTGCCACATTTTCGTGTCATTTTTTGGCCATTTCTTGGTCATTTTTTCACATTTCTTCGCCGTTTTTTCGCGTTTTTTCACCCAAAAAAAGCCGGAAAAATTCCCAAAAAATTCCCAGATACTCACATGAACCTTTGGAATGGCTGGATAACAAAAAGAGACTCCGATCACAATTCCAGACATGAGGAAGAAGAGGAGAACGGCGAAGTGGAGGTAGTGGAGGCCGCAGAGAAGGGCAGGGCAGCGCCAAAAACCCCCAAAAATCCCCCAAAAAATCCCCAAAAAATCCCCAAAAAATCCCCCAAAAATTCCAAAAAATTCCCCAAAATTCCCAAACACTCACCTGGATTTCAGTCTCATTTTGGGTCATTTTGGGGTCATTTTGGGCTCATTTTGGGTTCATTTTGAGCTCATTTTGGGTCATTTTTGCTTCCTTTTGGGGCATTTCTACCCCATTTTTTGCCCTTTTTTAGCCAATTTTCGCTATTTTTTTACCATTTTTTTCCATTTTTCACCCAAAAATTCCCAAAAAATTCCCAAAAAATTTCAAACACTTCCATGAACCTTGATCACATTTTGTGTCACATTGGGCTCATTTTGACCTCAATTTGGGTCATTTTCGTGCCATTTTATTGCCGTTTTTTGGTGTTTTTTGGCCGTTTCTTCGCCGTTTTT